AGATAAATTTGCAGCTATGAACAAGAATGTCATTTTCTTTTTATGTCAACAATTTCTATTGATAACATCATATTTTATGCATTCATCTCCTAGATTGCTGTCTGGGGCCTGGAGTACTATATTTAAACCATGCATGATGTGCAGAAGAAAAATTAAATTTGGCTTTTAAGGTTTAGAGAAACTATTTTGTAACAGACCTGAACTTCTTTTTTCACATTTTCCTTTAAATTCATTTAAACCTAGAGAATTTCAGATTCAATAAAGTTACATCTTTTTCTCTCTCATTTTTTGACTCAAAATTGCCATGCTCATATCTAACACATACAAAGATTGGCAATTCTGAAAACTAAAGTAGTATATCTCTATTTAGTCATATAAATTACATATGGAAAGGAAAACATATCAACTCGGGATTAATCCAACAAATTTAGTTCTTATAAAGGCTAAATCTCATATCCAATATTTGATGGTAAACCATGAGAGTTTGCCCGTTGTATAAGATCAGTAGTAAGCCATCTGGCGTATTCAATTTACATCAGTGGACGAGTGTTATTCCAAGTTTTTGATATTTCCACGGCTCATAAGCAATGAGGCTACTGGCAGAGGCTGCATCACAACCTAATTTTGGGAGGAGATTTTATTTGATTTTTGTTTCTTTTCCATACAAACCAAACCTGAAAGCCACTGCAAAAGAAATGAAATAATTTCACTGAATTAGAACGACTATGGTCTCCAAGCTTAAGTACAGAAATTTGCTATATTCATCTATTTACTCCATTGTATGTTTGCATTCTCCTCCCTCCACCCATTTCAAGGAGGAAAAAAATCAAGACAATAGTTTAGTTATCCCTGCATAATTTTCCTCCCCCTAAAATACCTTCTTTTTCTTTCTTTTTTTTTTTTTTTTTTGGTGAGGAAGATCGGCCCTGAGCTAACATCTGCTAATCCTCCTCTTTTTTGCTGAAGAAGACTGGCCCTGGGCTAACATCAGTGCCCGTCTTCCTCTACTTCACATGGGATGCCGCCACAGCATGGCTCGACAAGCGGCGCGGTGCGTGCCTGGGATCCACACCTGCGAACCCCGGGCTGCGAAGTGGAGCGCACGGACTTAACCACTACGCCACTGGGCCGGCCCCAATACCTTCTTTTTCTCAAATTTCTTGCAGCAGAAAGTATCTTTAAGGAGACTTTGTCCTTCCCCAAACTGACTAGAAGGAAGGACTGTTTGAACCCAGCTCCTGTGGGGAGAGAAGCGTCATTATTGACTCCTTTCCTTTCCTCCTTCACACTGTTCTTTCTGGTTGCCTGGCTTCACCCTATTCTGTGCATCTCCTAACCTCAGAGCATCTAAAGCCAGCTGGGGCTGCAGCTGTTGGCTGGTCCTTCCCTTGAAATAACGGGGCTTAAGCCCCAAAGCAGATGCATTTTTAAAACTTGAAATTAAAAAAATGAAACCATGGACATCACCTTTAAAACACTTTCTAAATCTCTTCTCTCTCTCATCCCTGCTCTTTCTCTCAAATACATAGGAAGCTTCCTGAAAGCAATGATTTGCTCTAGAACAATGGTTCTCGAACTTGAGCCGGCATGAGAATCACCTGGAAGATTTGCTAGAACACCGATTGCTGGGTCCTATGCCCAGAAGCTTGCATTTAGCAGGTCTGGGATGAGATGTGAGAATTTGCACTTGTAACAAGTTTCCAGGTGAAACTGAAGCTGCAGGTCCGTGGACCACACACTGAGAACTACTAGCCTAGACAAAGAACAACTGCTAAAGAGAGAGAAAGATCGGGAATTTAAGATTCCAATTCGCATCACCTCCAGTTGGATGGCTCTGGGGTGTCAAGTTCCCTGGCACATGGAGGCAGCATCGTGGAGACTAATGAAGGAAGAAGGTAAGGTGAAGAGCAGACCAGCTGCTTGAATTATTTCCCTTCTCCGCTGGCCCTCAAGATACTCAGAGTAAAAGTATCAAGAGAAGGAAAGTGAAGTTATGGAAATATGATCATCTTTAGCCAGCCAGCTTTTTAGATCCCCAATTGCATCTTGGCTATATTTCCCTTTTCTCTCTTAAACTGCTCGTAGCGCTATGCAATGGGTACCTGAATCAGACGGATTCGGGTTCAAGTCTTGCCTTACTTGCTGTGTGTCCCTCAAAGTCAGCGAACCTCTTGGCCCTCATTTCTCCCATATCAAAAATGGCGATAATAATCAAGCCTACCTATAACATTGCTGTTCGAATACAATTTAATTCTGCATGTACACTGATTGGCACATCCACAATAAATGTTAGCTTTCGTCGTGAATGGTCATCTCTCTTGGCTTTCATGTAAGAATATTCAATATGTTAAATATCACACTATCTATTTGATACAATAGGTTCAGTCATTACTTCAACAATATTTATCGAGTGGCTACTCGGTGTCAGATGTACAATATTATACAAGTATATTAAAATAATACTCTGTCAAGAAAAATGTTTGCTCTAAACATTATTTTGATTTGGAAAGTTTCGACTTTATAAGAACTTACATTTAAGAAAAATACTTTGCCTCCAAAATTAGCTAACTAGGGAAACTGAGAGGATGTGTTTACTAACCACAAATTTTGTTTTGACAGACACTAAAAAATAGAATGGAGGGAACAAGGGGAAAGTAATTCTGCAGATACCTTGGCCTCAAATTATTAAGGGTGTATTTTAGACCCTCCTAGAGACCACAAGCCCACTTTTCCTGAAAATCGTTGTTTATGTAACAAAACAACAGGGAACAAATTTGGCCAAGGGGATCCTATTTTAAGTTCACATGATGTCATTTTTTAACCCACCCTATCGGTCAGAAACTCAGTGATGAATTACTATCAGGAGCTGTGTTCAGTCCTTCGGTTCTTCCTCCCCTGAGTGAAGAATGAGAATTCACCATTCTAACAACTGAGCCCCAAACTTAACAGGCCTCATGTTTTTGAAATATATACTGAAAGCGCTAAATTCTGGATACCACCTGTATTTGGCTGAATTTCCAAAAGGTTAACATGATAGATATGGAAGTTTCTTGATTTCACCCTGAGTAGTGCCTTTGCTCTTTCCTCCTCCCAGGTTTTCAGGTCCCCAAGAAGAGAATTGGGACCACAACGTTTTAAGAGCTGGGTGGAGGTGTTAGAGACAACCTAGCCCAGCCCCTAATTTTACCCATGAGAAAGCTGAGGCCCATGAAGTTTGAGTGACTGCCCAAAGCCGAGCGCTCTTGGGGACAATGAATACAGATGCCTTCATTCCCATCCACTGTATTTTCCCTACACCATTGACCTCCATATTTTGCTTTAAAGGAACTTCAACAAGGAATTCATTATCAGATCTATGGAGAAAGACCCCTGAACTTCCACACCACTTACCTCCCTATGCCAGTTAGCAATTGGTAGTGGCAGTGAAAATAGGTACCTCTGTGGCACCAGCAGGTGCCTGAGAGCCTAGGAAGCTATGAGACTCCAAAATGCAGAACTCAGGGAAAGAAGTGATGTGACTCTCTAATAAATGTCCTATTAGCCCAAATCCTCGAAGAAATCAGATGCTAAGTATTGTACTTTGGAAATCTACTTGGGCAATATTTTCCTTTCATTTTCCCTAATGCATCTTACAAAACCATAGTTCCCAAAGTTTCTACTGAAATAGAAGTGCCACTTTTAAAATCTGAGCTTCTCTCCATGAGAAAAGCATCATTTTATCTGCGTTTACATTTCACAGTGCGCTAACACATTTGTCGCTTTGCTGCAGTGGGTTTTTTCCGTCAAAAACGGTCTGCTATCTAGACCCGTGGCTTCCGCGATGAAGGGACTTCTGCGGGTGAGTATGGCAGCGTCCAGCCGGCCGCAGGCATTTGGCCCATTACGGTTTCAACGCTTCGGAGGTTTCCCTTCGCGCACCCGCTCGCGTCTCGGAGGTGCCAGCTGTTTGCGGGGAGGCTCAGGTTTATCACCTTGGACGTTTGCAAGAAGCCGGAGCGCTCTCCGCCTCCCCCCGCCCCGCCACCAAGACCTCTTCTGGCCACAGACTCGTGAGACGTCTGCGTCTTCCCGCAGCCTGGGCGCGCGAGCCAGCATCGTACCGGGGACCTGGGCGCGCGCTCCCGGGCCCTGGCACCGCTCGCTCCCCGAGCCGGGACGAAGGAGCCGAGGGTCACGCCCTCGCTCTGGAGCCGCTCTTTTCTCTCTCCGCACGTCCTTTTCCTTACCTCTACTAAAAATAGGCGGGCTCGCTCCAAATAAACCACGCACAACACACCACAGCCCCCAAAAAAGTTCTGACTTGAGACACGCACAGCGCAGAGGACCGTCGGAGCGGGCGACACTGCTGGCCAGGCTGACCCGCGCCCTCGGACAGCCCCAGGCCCCCGGGCGCAGCCTGCTCCCCGCGTTCCGCTCGCTGCGGGTGGCGGGGTGTGCGGGGGCTGCCAAAGGACAAGCCAGCTCAGGGACAGCGCGGACCTGAAGGGTCCACCCAGGCCGGCGGGTAGGAGGGGTCCTGCGGAGCAGAACTGGCAGCACCGACGATGGAGAGGAGCTAAACCCACCGCACGACCCGGAGTGCTGGACAGGACAGGACTATGGTCACGAACAATGCCATGGAGGGGGCTGTCCCCAACCCTCGCCTCGCCCCGCACTGCCAGGCCTGAATATACACACTTGTACACACCCGCGAACACACCCGCCTGCACTCCGCCCCCGATGGGGTGGAGGAGGCGGGGAAGGTATGCAGGGCCCCGCCCCGGGGTACCTGCCGGGCACGGCAACCCAGCTGCGCCCCCGCCGCGGCGCAAACACACGGACGCGCGGGAGGAGGCGGGCTCTCCTCTCCGGGCCGCCGCCCCGAGGCTCCGGGGCGTCCCACCTGGGGAGCCGCGGGGCGGCGGCGCGCGGGGAGAGCACCAGGGGTCGCCGGCCTGCCCCCTCTCCCCGGCACAACTTGGCGCAGCCGGCGCCGCCTCGCGCCCGCCTGCCCTCCTTACCCAAATACTGCCGCAGGTCGAGCAGGAAGCGAGGGGGTCCCCCGCTGAGCTGATAGAGGAGGGAGCCCAGGCAGAAGACCAGCAGGGTGGCCATGCAGAAACCGTAGTCCCGGAGCGAGAAGCGCAGGAAAGGCAGCAGGGAGACCCGGCGCCTCCAGCCGCCCAGGCCGGCAGGGGCGCCCCCCAGAGGCGCCCCATGGGGCCAGGGATCCGCGCCGCCGCCGGGATGCTGCTGCTGCTTCATCGCCTGCTCCGCCGCCTCGCACAGCCTGCCCGTGCCAGGAAGAGGTCACCCATCCGCCTGCGAGGAGCAGAGCCCGGCCGGCCGGCTGCACATGGGCAGGGCCGCGCGCAGGGCAGCCGGGTGGGGGCGGGGAGGGGCCGAAGTCGCCGGGCTCAGGAGAC